ATCCCACATGCCGTGCAGCATGGCCAAAAGATTAAAAAAAAAAAAAATCTGGCTATGAGATAGCCCAAATGAACACGCTGGGAAAATGTCATTTCTTCTGCTACATCCATATGAGGATACTGGTGTGTTCACCTCCTCTATTAATGTTTGGATTCCTTGGAGTCACGAATTGCATCTCTTTCATCTCCAAACCTCAGTTTCCTTGCCTGTAAAGTGAGGATAACTTCAACCTTGGAAGACGATTGGAAGAGTTGAATGACATAATGCATGCGATGAGCTTATTGAAAAAGAATGAATGAACAAATAAATAAAACATATGAAATGATACTAAGATGGTATCAAGGAAGGATGAGGGGAAGAGAAGTGGAGAGGGGAGGAAAGAACCAGAGTGATGTCCCTTGGCTTTCTTCATGACGGCACTCAAAGGGAACCCCTACCTCCCCACTGGCGTCTTCAAACTTCCGAGGGGTGTGTGGACTGCCGGGAGTGCTTTGATTCCCAGGCTGTTCATTGCTGGAGGGTTTGCTTCTGTTCCCCAGGGCATTTTGGCTCCAGTTTGAGCATTGTTCCCCACTCTGTTTAAAAAGTTGCAAAAGTGTAAATATCTCAGAGAATGGTATATCCCCATAGGAGGGAGGGGTCAGAGGGAAGTGATGGGACGGGCTTGGTAGGCAAAGAGATGCTGTTGGTCCGGTATCAGAGGACTTCAGATGGGAAAGAGGGAAAGGGAGGGAAGAAGAGAGACGATGAGAGGAAAGGCAGGTGGGTGGGCATCGCCCCTGTGGCCAGCTCCGCAGCTACCCAGTCCCCACCCCTCCCCGCTGGCCCTGCAGGGCACGTCATATAGGGTAAGGCAGGTGTCATGGTAACCTTGGCCAGGACCCACTTTTCTAATAACACTTTGGAATCATAGAGTAGCTTAGGAGAAAACACAGTGAAAAAGCAAGTCCATCTCTCAGAATCTTAAGAGAGTCCATTTATGACAATTGCTATGTGACCTTCACTGTTGGCAGGCACTGGGCAAAGCTCTTCTTTCAGTCAACCTTTGTAAACATGACCAAGACCAGGGAGAGGCCAGTGAGGGGCCCTGGGTACCAAATATAAGGAACGCTCATTGTGTGCACATGGTGAGAGCAAACGCCTCCTTACATTTTGTGTCCAAGACGCATTCTCTCCTTCCAGGCTTATCACAGTTTGTAAAAGCCTTGGAGAAAGACAGGATTCCAGTCCCCCTGCTACAGAGGGAAGGCTGAGACACAGAGAGCTTGAGTAAGTGATCCAAGGTCACACAGAAGGTGGAGATCCAAGCTTCAAAGCCAGACCCACACTCATGCCTCAATATAGCCAGAACGCCCTGCCCGAGGCCAGACCTTCTGAACCAGAAATGTTCCCAAAACATTTCTTGTCCCTCTGTGACAGTCTGCAGCTAGGTCTCCATTTCAGCCCAGTCACAGCTCCCCAAAGGGATGGGAAGTGTGGAGTGGGTACAGGGCAAGGGCGTGATCAGGAGAGACAGAGCCTTTATCCTGGAGGTGATGGCTTGGATGCATCCCCATGTCACCTCACCAGCCCCACACTGAGGCCTTCAGGTCCACCCTGGCTCAGGGCCCCCTTTCCCAGGTCTCAAGTCCGAGGATCAGGTAAACACTTAGAATTTCATAAGACTTAATTGCCACTTGGAAAGAAAGGGAAATGCTCTAAAACAGAGGCAGAGTGGCTTTTTAGAAACAGTTTATTGAAATATAGTTCACCCACTGAAAGTGTAAAATTCAATGGCTTTTACTATATTCACGACTATCGATTTTAGAATGTTTTTGTCACCTTCAAAAGAAACCCTGCATCCATTAGCTACCACTCACCAAACCTCTCAGCCCCTGGCATCCCCTCTTCTGCTCACGTACTCTCTGTCTCTCTCGAGTTGCCTATTCTGGACATCTTATGTAAATGGAATTATGCCATATGCATTCTTTTGTGCCTGGCTTCTTTCACTTAGCACAATGTTTTTAAGGTTCATCCATGTTGTCACAGGTGGCAGGACTCCATTCCTTTTTTCCTGTTGTTTGTTTGTTTTGCGGTACGCGGGCCTCTCACTGTTGTGGCCTCTCCCGTTGCGGAGCACAGGCTCCGGACGTGCAGGCTCAGCGGCCATGGCTCACGGGCCCAGCCGCTCCGCGGCATGTGGGATCTTCCTGGACCGGGGCACGAACCCGTGTCCCCTGCATCGGCAGGCGGACTCTCAACCGCTGCGCCACCAGGGAAGCCCAGGACTCCATTCCTTTTTATGGCCAAATAATTTTCCATTGTATGGATGCACTTGGTTTTAATCCAGCATCAGTTGATGGACATTTGCGTTGTCAGGTGGCTTTTTTCTGGATAAGAGAATACATACAGCTGGCCGAGGCAGAACCGACTGTAAAACGGTTTAATCCTAGAGCAGCTTTAACCCCAAACCACCTGAGCTTAACCAGGGAGCCCAGGACAGCTCCTGGCACTGTGAGCAAAGCTCTCGCACCAGTTACTGGCCCCCCTTTAGAGATAAGGGCGCTGAGTCCTAGGAGGACAGAGAATTGGTGCTCAAGGTGACAGAAGGGCCACAAAGCAGCGGAGTGTCCAGGGCAGTGTTCTAGGCTTATTGCCTCCCACGGCCACCCCCCCCCCAGCTCATCACTCCACTTCGTACAGCCTAAGATGACATCGGCTGTGGAAACACGTTTTGGAGGCCACACTAGGAAAGAGAAAATGCAGCCAACTGAGTGATGGACACGTATGGAACTATGGCTTTCTGGACACAGCAATGGCAAGATGCCTTCCAGTTTCAGAGATGCTGAAATGTAAGAGAACACGTGTCCTAGAGTTGATGAAATCCAGTCCCCTTTCAGCAAGTATTGGGCGATCCTAAACACGCCCACTCATTGTCTCCCCCTCTACCCAGTCCTCCTTCCTTCTCTTTGAGTCTTGTCTTCACGTGTTACCATCCAGGGACTCCGAGCTATGGTCCCAGAGTCCTCCTTTCTCCCCCTCTTTCCCTCTACTTGCCAACCTGCTATCTAATCAGTCACCTCGTCTGGCTAGTCCTCTAAAGGGCTCCTCACACTGGCCAGCCTCTCCGTCCCCACTGCCATGGCCCTTGCTTTGGACCCTTCCTGGTCCGTCAGCGCTCCTGCAGCCTCCCCCATCCTCTGCCCTGCTACTCTCACAGGTGGGACAACTTAGCTTGGCTCCCGGTCAGCCTCTGACATAGTTCCCCAGCACCTGCAGAATAGAGTGGAAACTCCCTAGCACAGCAACCAGGGCCTGGCTTGCCTTTGGGGTCCCCCTCCAGGCTCGGGGGTGGGTCCCAGACACCGCGTGTGTCCCCACTCGGGGAGGCTCGCTGTTGGAGGTCATGCCCTGACTCCCCGCCCTTGTCTGGGGTTCCTCCCCCAGGAATGCTCTTGCTTTTGTTCCCATTCAGGAGATCTGGTTCAAATGGCTCTGCCTGCGTCCCCCCTTCTGAGCTGAACTGACTGCGCGCTACGTTTTGCTCCGAAGCGCATTGCCCAGCACCACTTTATTGTACTGCTATGACGCACGCAGAGGAGGGGCTCTGATTTGCTGGAGGCTGAATTCTACTTCACAGGCTAGCCACTGTGTAACGCTGGTGAGGTCACAGCATCTCTGAGAGCTCTGGCCTGAGTACCAGCACACACCAGAAGACGCAGGGCAAAAGCTAAGGAACTCTTCCCAGTTGCTCTCCCAGGCACCACTCCTGCCCCGAGCCACTTTCCAGCTCTTGGAAGAGAGGCAGACCTGCTGGTCCCTGAGAGCCAGAGCCCTCCCTGGAGCTGAGGGGCACTTTGCCCCCCGGATCAGCACAGAGGGCACTGCACTTTGTGGCTTTCGGCTGTCAGACGGGTGAGCCTGGCTCCCAGGGCCTGACGCTTCTCTCCCCACCTCCCACTGCCCCTGTCCCCAAGGAGGCTGTGTGGGTGAATGTGCTCAGGCATTTCCTCTTCGAAGCATCCCCAGCTCATGCTGGCCCAGGACTTAGATTTGGAAGTGGGTGGTCTGTTGGGGAAGAAGAGGCTTATTAAGTTCTCCAACCTAAGCTGCATGTTTCAGCCCAGGTTTCACCAGAAAGCTCTGTTCTCAGGGAAGTGGGTCATGGGAGCTTGGTATCAGATGGTTGCCCAGTTCATTATGCGTTTCTAGCTTCCCGCTTAGTTCTCGCTCCATGCACATGGCTCTCTTGCTTTAGAAACCTGCAGGTGGGGAGGTGACAGCAGGACTGGACTGAGGTGTTCCTGGACCTCTGTTCTTATGCTACCTGGGTACCAACCCGGGTACCAAAAAACATCTCCTCTCACCTCCAACAGGAACTGCATCATTATTGCCACCATCCTCATCTTCATCCTCCTCATCTGGGCCTCCCTCTGTAGACTGTGGGTTCCTTGAGGAAGTGTGTGTCTTGTGCATCGCTGTCTACACAAGGCCCAGAGCAGAGGAGGTGCTCCCCACGCTGGAGGATTTGAAGCACAGGATTCGGGCAGAATCATTATTCTAGTGAGGGACAGAGGACAAAAAGGACCCTGTCCCGGAATGTGACCCTATTGCACTGTTGCAGAGGAGGGGATTGCCATACAAGTCATTAAGGAAGGAGGACCTGGAGGTGTGACATCTGTGTCTCAGATTGGATTGTGTCTCCTCGGAGCAGGGCTGGACCAGAACCTCATAGGCTCCGACTGCCGGAAGCCCCGGGCTTCCCTTTGTCTCCCAGGATGAAATCAAACCCCTTTTCTTCTTTATCAGACTGCAGCTCTTGGCACCTCTGATGTTCATTGTGAGTTTAATGAACTGAGGGAACCGGTGAGCCCAGTGATTCCCATGTGTACTGTAGCTTTATGAAGGAGGAAAATGAGAAAATGGATAGAAGAGGGAAGGATGGCTGGAGTATTTCTGGACTTTTGGCCCTCCTTGTTCTCTCTTCTTGGAGAATTCTGAGATAAATGAGACATGATCCACACTATTGTAACAGTTTATTATTTGTCATTTATTATGGAGACTTCTGTTTGGCTGGGAAAATTGTGAAGAGTTCAGGGATGACGGAACCAGATTGGATGTGCTCCATTTGCCCGGTGAGCACCCTTGGGTGGGTGCCTCTCAGAGTTGAGAGCAGAGACCTAAGACTTAACTCCTTTTGCAGGCTCACGAGGTCTCACTCTGGCTCAGACTGATCTTGAACTAAGAACCTGTACATCCAGTCCTACCCAAATATCCACTGGCTCTTTGAACTCACAATGTGCAGATCTGACCGTCCATCTTCCCTTTGGTCATCCTCTCGTGGGTTAACGGAGTCACTATTTATGTGGTTGTTCAATTTAGAGACTGGGGAGTTATTAGAGATTCTTCTTCCTCATCTTCTGAGGCAGTGGCAATGTTCTGAGTCCCCATTCCTCCTGGGCACACAGCTTAGACACACTTCCCAGGCTCCTTTGCAGCTAGGTATGGTCATGTGATTGGCTCGTAGCCAATGGGATGTGGTCAGAGTGATGTCATCACTGCTAGGCCTGGTCCAGCAGGAAACACCTCCGACGTGGGAACCCTTTCTCCTGTTTTGCCATTCACCTGTTGGAATAGAAGGACTCTGAGGGCCTTGGGGATGGAAGAGCCTCAAAAAAAAAAAGAAAGAAAAAGAAAGGAAGGAAGGGAGGAAGGGAGGGAGAAAGAAAGGAAGAAAGAAAGAAAGGAAGAAAAGAGTCTGAGTCCCTGAATGACTACATGTAGTACAGTCACCAACTGGATTTCTTATAAATTAGAGACAAATGTAAGACACTGAGATTGGGGGATTTAAGAGCACAGCAGATGTTATCATATCTTAAACACTCTCCCAAAATAATCTGATCCTAAGTCTTGAATTAAGGTAGAGATTAATATTCTTGGATATGTTCTTTCCTTGGGACCCTTCCTGTCACCGCCTCACCTCAGGCTCCCACCCTTCTCACTGGAACTGTTTTATCAGCCTCCAAACTGTTTCCTGCCTCTATTCTTTCTCCAAATCCACCCTGCACCCTGCCTCTGAATTTGATTCTCACTGTGCTCCTCCACCCCAGCTATTAAAACCCTTCAAGGACTCTGGCAGGCAGGACAAGACCCAAACTCCAGGCTTGCTTCAAATGTTTTACACAGGGCAGACCCAGCAACCTCTCCAGCATGGTCTCCGGGCACCCCTCCTCCATCACACTAAATTACCTCCTGCCTCCCTCCGTAGTCTGGAAGGTCGTTTCCTTTTTGTCCCTAGACAGGTATGCATATTTTAAAAACCTATTTAGAAAGCATTTCCTGGTAGCTTTTCTCTGATGCCCCAAAATAGAAATAATCACACTTACTTTTCCTGTCACTTGTCTCCTTGTCTTAGGACACTTCCCCCTTGAAATATCATTTTCTTTGCCTGCATCTCCTCCGTAGACAATGTTTCATTTTCACATCCCATTGCCCTGCCTGCTGCCTGACACTAGCGGCGCTCAGCAGAAATTTGCATGTGGATGAGTAGATGCTTGGGAAACAGAGATTTCAGCCAGAGGCTAGGATGCATCCTTTGCGCAGGCTCAGCCATGCCTGGATGTCTCTCTGACACTCACAGGACAGCTGTGACAGGCATTTAGTGGCTGGAGATCGCTGTCTGCTCATTTGGCTGGGAAGCCCGCTAGTGGGCTAACAATGAAACAGGATGGGACTCTGAGATGCTGCCATGGAAAGGTGACTTCCAAGGAACCCTCTTGAGTGCTGTTGGTCTGTAGCCGCTCGTGGGCCTGAATTTTTCTCCCCTTCCCCGAAGTACATCTAAAGAAATAATCAGAAGCTAATCTTTGCTGCTGGGACCATATATGGATCATAGTTCCCCAGCCAGACAACACTGAACCTATCTTTTCAGGGCTGACAGACCTAAATGCTCACAGAGGCCAGATAATAGCTAGAATGATTGAAGAGGGTCTAGGGTAGTGTAGTAGGGAGTGGTGGAGACTGGGGCAAACTGGAGTGTAATATACCCCATTCAAAAGGAGGAACTGCCTCTCAGCTCTCTGGCTAATGACTGCTATGCAGACATAAAGGCCCTGTATTATTAGACTTTCTGATTTTTTTGGATGACAGCTCAAGAGACAGCTTTGTTTTTGGGGTGGGGGCAAAGACCATATCTCATCAAATTTAAGACATCATTCCTTGTAAGTTGCACCATTATTTTATGTACCACTAAGAAAACAAAATTTGCTAATTAAACTATGACACGGGCCTTTCTTATCACTTAAAGATTTATTTTATACATACAGAAAGAGCTATTTTAGACTTATATAGACACAGAATCTTTATCACACATCCAGTTTGTGCAGCTCTGAGAAGGAAATCTCATGCAAAATTAATCGGTTAAAGTTCCCCTAAAACATCTTCCCACTTAAAATCTGACTCCTTTGTGTTGCTTCTACACCAGCATCATGGGAATCTGCTTTCTTCCACACAATATCATCCTCTGTGCCTGCTCTACTGTTGCCTCCAGGATCTTTTGCAAGCCGCTAACACCCGTTCTGCAAGTTTTGATGAAGCAATAACAGGCAATGATGTGTCACGGCTTATGTGTCACAACAGTGACCTGAACATGCACCTTGATTTCAGGGATGCTAACATGAGAAAACAGAAAAACAAACAAAAAAGAAATACAGTAATTCCAATTAAAAAACAAACAAGCAAGCAAGGGAAGCACTGACATTGCATGGAAAGAAATAATACATCTCTGGGCCAAATTGACCAGCAGCTGGAGGTTTGGAAGCCATGATTAGCAAGCCCAGTCTTAGAGAGTCTGTGAGTTCTTAGTGAAATGGTGTACTGCCTTCACCCATGGGTTTCTCCAGGCATGACGATCCCCTCTTCAACTACGAGCATGTGAGGATGTGGTCGTGAAGTCCATTATCCCCTGACTTTCAAGTAGCAGCAAAAGAGGGCTGGCAGGCAAGGACAAAGAATCTACTCTAGGACAGGGCAAGACAGCACATTCCACAGAAGGTTTGGAATCAGAAAGAACTGCATCTGTATCCTGGTCCTGCCACTTTCTAGCAAGGCGAACTTTAACTGTTATGTCCTCATCTACAAAATGAGAAGAATAATAGTACTTTCCTTTTATGTTTATTGTGAGGATTAAATGAGGCTTGCACGTGAAGCACGTGGCACCTGGCATTTACCGGGTGCTCAGTAAATGTTAGAATCATTATTCAAATCTGATCAAGAATGTTTGGCTGAGTAGAGGAGGTTCTGGGAGTCTCGATGGCATATAATGTGCCTTGTTTCTTATCTTCTGCTCTTATGTGTCCCTCTCTGCCAAGTGTAGGGAGCTGAACCCAGTCTCCCTGATATCCGTGGAATACACTCTCTTTACATCCGAGAGCGGTGTTTCCTTGATATGACAAACCTTGCTCCTATGGTTATTTTGAGATCCTTGTCCAGGACAGAGGCAGAAGAACCCCTTAGAGACAATATATCAGACAGTGCCAGGTGGCACTCACTGACACAGGGGGGCACAGTCATCGTGGAAGAGAACGCCATGTCCCAGGAGGGCAGCTCAGCCCAATTCCTGGCCACACCCTCTCTGACTTCAAACATAAAAATTGAAAACACTGCTTCACCTAAGTTTCGAAACACTGCTTTGGGAGCCCCCATCGTCAGGTGCTACTCAAAGGGATGCAAGCCGTTCTCCCGGTATCCCCTCCCCGCCATCACCACTTTCCAAAACAGGCAGAGCCAGTCAGGGTATTAGTTTCCTAACACTGCTGTAACAGGCGACCACGAATGTAGTGGCTTAAAACAGCCTGAATGTATCCTCTTACAGTTCTGGAGGTCAGAAGCCCCAAATCAGTCTTACCGGCTAACATCAAGGTGCTGGCTGGGCTGTTCCTTCTGGAGGCCTCAGGCGACAGTCCATTCTCCTTGCCTCTTCTGGCTTCTAGAGGCTGTGACTCATAATCACGTTACTCTAATCTCTGCTTCCATTTTTTCATCACCTTCTCCCCGCTCTCATCTCCTGCCTCCCTCTTATTTATTTATAAAATTTTAAAATGTTTTTATACAATTTTTAAAGGTTACTTTCCATTTACAGTTATTACAAAATATTGGCTACATTCCCCGTGTTGTACAATACATCCTTGAACAGGTCTTACTAGTTTGTGCCTCCCATTCCCCGAGCCCTACAGTGCCCCTCCCACCCCCACTGGTAACCACGGTTCTCTGTATCTGTGAGTCTGCTTCTTTTTTGTTATACTCACTAGTTTGTTGTAATTTTTAGATTCCACATACAAGTGATATCATACAGTATTTGTCTTTCTCTGCCTGACTTATTTCACGTAGCATAATGCCCTCCAAGTCCATTCTTGTTGCTGCAAATGGCAAAATTTCATTCTTTTTTATAGCTGAGTAGCATTCCACTGTTTATATATGCCACATCTTCTTGATCCATTCATCCGTCGATGGACTTTTAGGTTGCTTCCCTATCTTGGCAATTGTAAATGACGTTGCTCTGAACGTTGGGGTGCACGTATCTTTTTGAATTAGTGTTTTTGTGTGGTTTTTTTGGATATATACCCAGGAGTGAAATTGCTGGGTCATATGGTAGTTCTATTTTTAGTTTATTGAGGAACCTTCATACTGTTTTCCACAGTGGCTGCCCCAATTTACATTCACACCAGTACAAGGGTTCTCTTTTCTTCACATCCTTGCCAACATTTGTTATTTGTGTTTTCAGATGAGAGCCATTCTGACAGATGTGAGATGATATCTCACAGCGGTTTGTTTTTTTGTTTGTTTGTTTGTTTTTGCGGTACACGGGCCTCTCACTGTCGTGGCCTCTCCCGTTGCGGAGCACAGGCTCCGGACGCGCAGGCTCAGCGGCCATGGCTCAAGGGCGCAGCCGCTCCGCGGCACGTGGGATCTTCCCGGACCGGGGCACAAACCCGCGTCCCCTGCATCGGCAGGCGGACTCCCAACCACTGCGCCACCAGGGAAGCCCCTTTACACTGTGGTTTTGATTTACATTTCACTGATGATTAGCGATGCTGAGCCTGCCTCCCTCTTATAAGGCCCCTGTGATTACAGCAGGACACCCGGGATTATCCAGGTAATCTCCCCAACTCAAGATCCTTAACTTAACCACTTCTGCAAAGTCCCTTTCGCCATGTAAGGCAACATATAGATTCCAAGGACGTGGATAACTTTGGGGGCCAGTATGCAACCCACTATAGCCACGCTGGTGCCCATGCCAAGCTGGTCAGCAGGGGTGCCCCTAGCACCAGCGTAGCTGTAACATCTACCCTGGGCGACTCCAAGAACAGACATGACGTCCTTTCCAAAGAACTCTGAAGAAGGCTTAGCTGAAATTAGGGAAGGGCTGGGGAGGGGCTGGGAGGGGCAGAAGAGACAGATGAGTGAGTGCACCCATGAGCCACGCAATGGCAATAAGCCAGTAACTTCACCTTTACAACCAGCCCATCAACTCCAGGGTAGAGACGTTTTTCCAGGTCTTAGGATAATGTAAGAAAAAAGGGAAAGACAGGGCCTCCTCCCGCGAGCACTGGCTACACGTGTTTCGGAGAGCAGAGCAGAAGGCCGTCTCCACAAATATGACCTGGGACCGCTGCTTCGCCGAGCTCAGCTAGTGGAAGGCCTTGGGTGGCCTTCACCTGGTGTCTCCGATCAGCCGCCCAGACAGAGCTCTCATCTCAGCCCCCCTGAAAGGCCCAGTACAGGCAAGAGAACCAATTAATTAGAGGAAGCGGTCTCTGTACACGCACTTTCTGGAGAGAAGATAATTGGATTTCTGTGGTTAAGAAGACAACTCCCATTCAGTCTCTCCCAAGAATGGGGCCATTTCCATGCTGAACACAGCAGATTTCTTCCTGTTTCATTAGTTGTGATTCCACTGCATGATGGGGTGCTTGGTTTATAATTGGGGTGAAGACTGCCAGGGGACTTGAGGTACAGGGACAAAGACCTCATGCACCCCCAGAGTGAGGCTAAGTCTCTAGGGGGATAGGGGAATCTTCTTGGACGTCAAGGCCACATAGGGATCAGGCTCTGGGACACAAATACTTTTAATTGACTCTCATCATTGTGGAATAATGGGTCATCATATGTCTGTCCCGTAGCCATGGACCCTACTGAAGGTAGCAGTTCCTGATTCTAATTTGGGGACCCGTCCTTGAGTCTTGGACCAAAGCCATCAAATTGGGTCAGGGCAAACTCTGGATCAAGTAGTGCCTGAAGATGTTAACTCCAGATTTTTAAATTATAGGCCTAATAAGTCATCTTGGTTTTTGTCAAGTCAGTGTGGGGTGGCTTTCTATCCTTAGGACTTACCAGGTACCAGTCACTGTCTCAGAGTCTGGGATCCATGGCAGATTTTCATTGCCATTACAAGGTCACCAGTTTGGGTGAGGCTCAGGGCCACACAGCCAATGAGGGGCAGAGCTGAGCCAGGTTGGCCCGGCTCTAACAGCATCATCTTCTTAACTGCTCTGTAGACAGACTCGGCCCTAGATCCTAACCCCAGCTCCTGCCTCCACATCCACTGTCCTGTCTGCCCTGCCAGGACCCCACGTCTTTCCAAACCTGGTTAAGAGAACCGAGCCTTCTGCAGTGATGAATGGGGTACCAAGCCTCTCTCTCACGTCAGGGCCTGAGGCCCTCTCCTGGGCACTCAGGAAGGAACCAACTCTGCTCTCCATCCCCTGCTCTCAAGGAGAGGTCAGGGGACAGAGCTCCTTCTCTTGGAAGTAAGTGAGACCATCACAGTATTTGTTAGGGCAGGTGCTGCTGGCAGGGACTAGATAAGCTTGGAACCCAGAGAGGCTACCTGTTGCCATGGGAAGAACACCAGTTCACATGCCTTTTTAGGCAACATCTCCTTCAACTTGCAGGTGACTGAAGGGATACTCAAAAGGCGAGGTGAAGGTTTAAGGTCCCATAGCCAGCTGGCAGGGGGTGGCAGGGTCAGGGTTTGTCCCAGACCCATCTCACTCCCAAGTCCATGCTTATCCTCTGATGCCTCCTGGGTGGGGTGGGCTAGTGGCTCCTGGTGGAAAAAACAAGGCCACAAGGGCAGGAGCTGGGAGCAGTGGGGCAGCCCAGGATGTGTCCACCCCTTCCCAACTGCAGACTGTCTATGGCATCCCTGCAGACCTTCTGGAGCTCGGCCTCACTGCTCACTAGCCACTGAGGCAGGCAGGACAGCTGGAGGCCTGGGCCTGGGCTGAGGGTGGGTTCTGTGTTCTCAGAACCTTTCCTTTACAGCCTCCCCTCTCCCTGGAGGATTGCCTGGTTTGCTAATGGCACTGGATTCCTGGCTCCAGGGCCTGCCTTGAAGTGGGGTCAGCTGGCCAGGCTCTGACATCATCCTCAACTCTAGCAGCTTCCGCTCCTCGGGGCTGGGCACAGGGCTTCATGCCCGTCACTGGCTGGGGTCCTGCTGATGGCACTGGAGCCCCAGTGACAACAGCAATACCTAAGGTGCTCGCCCCTGTATCAGCTCTTCACCTGCATCCCCTCCTGCATGCCTACGGGGCAGGTATCACCACCTCCTCTTCCGGATGAGGAAACCGTGACAGACAGGTGATGCGGCTGCTCGGGCTACAGCCTGACTGACAGAAGAGGGGGCAGCATCTACACCCAGCCTGACTCACAATCTCCCCGTCTCCTCTCTAGTCCCTGAAGACTTTCTCACCGGAGGCAGACAGTGACTGCGCTGTGTTCACCGCCCCACACCCACGCTGAGATGGACTCATTTCCTCTGCCTTTTTAGGTCGAACTGAACAGCTGAGAACTGTGTTGCTTTGGGTACACACCCTGGCAGTGCCGGAGACAAGGACAGACACCAGTCCCTGGACTCCGGAGATGCCCTGGCCGCAACCTCTAGTTACCTTCGCCTCCTGGATGTGCCTTCCCAAGACAGCAGCACATCGGAACCTCCGAGGCTCCTGGAAACAGCACCAGAAGGACTCTGGAGAGGCAGAGCTGAGCGTAGCCCCTGTTTTGGCAGATTTCCCACTAAAAATGAGGAACCCAGCTGGCCCTCGTCGTCGAGGGCCACACTTAATGGCCAGTAAATTGGTTTGAGCCCCCATCACATGCTTTGGGGACTCCTGCTGAGAATTCCGGAGGACATCTTACATTCTCCTATGTCCCTTATGCCATTCGGACTCCCAGCAGGCTTAGCTTCCCTGCCCGAGGCTGTTGTCCCTCCTCCAGCCCCCAGCCCTCTAATACTGACTGGGGTGCTCACAGATTTGTCCTGAAGGTTGGAGGTGTCACAGAGGAAGGCCTTGGATAAAAGATCAGGAACCAGTAATCCAGTCGACGCTCTTAAACATCCCTCCAGCCATCCCGTGTCTCCTGGGGCCATTTTCTCCCTAAAACCCAGCCTGCCCCCATGTGGCTGGAACCTTCTCTCTCCCCAGACTCCTCACCCCTACCTCCTGGCTGCCCACAGCAGACTCCTGGTTCTGTGGCTCAATGATGTAGAGAAACGTAGACCCTCAGACAAGGTTCTGGGTTTGCTTTGACTTAAACTCCAAAATAAAACAGTCACTGCCTTGGGCCTTTGCCTGTGAATTGTGGGAACTACAAGTTACTTTGAGAGCACATTTGTCTTTTATTTCTACCAGTTCAAATTCTTAGGCAGGCCTCCTTCTCCACCATCCAGACGAAATCCCCCCGGGGGGAGCTGGTGGCCCACCCTCCCCTACCCCAGGGAAGCAGGGCCTGGGGCAGCAATGGGGCCAGGGGGCCAGGCAGAGGTGGGCATTTGAGCGAAAGCCACAGGGCAGAAGCTGGAGGAGAGAAAGAAGCTTCAAGGTCAAGGATGGCAGAACCTGGAGGAAAACAATCCCAGAACTGGAGGAAGCAGCTAGCTGGGTTTTGCTCTGGAGGAGAGTGGAGTGGATCAGAAGCCAGGATTACATGGGGGAGGGGTGCTGAATGTAAAGGTCTGGATTTGAACACAGGAATTCATTTTGTGGACAAGGAGAGGGGAGACAAAGGACCAAAGACAGGAAGGGTGAAGATACAGGATCTGGAGAAATACGCTTCAAAGGACCGGCTTGTGTACGGCT